ATTGGACATTCTTCCAGCAACAACAGAATCCGGACAAAAATCCCCGACCAGTTTAATCGATGGCATTTGTGAGTAGCAAATATTCGGATGTGGCAATTTTTAAAATTTTTTATGCACCTGGTTAGGCACAGAGGAATGGAGTTAAGCAAGGGCAGTCTTGGGGGATTTCCACACAGGCTAGAGAGGGGAAAATGTGATATCTGCAAGAGGTTGCTGCAGGCTTGTACTTCTCCAAGACTGTTCCTACAGATACAGTTTTGTCCACTTCCCTTGGCCTTTGAAGAGAGATGTTTGGCCTCCAGAACACCAGTGAGTGGACCAGAAAGTCCAAAGGTGATCTATGCAGGAATGACCCTGCAAGAGCCTTCAAAAGGAGGAGGGACTTGGTTTTGCTGGGATAGCCAGCCAAAACGTCTTGACTAGGGTCAGATATGCAGGAAGAAGGATGCTATGATCAACGACCTTGGCTCTTGACCTTAATGAGCCTTAGCTTTCAGGTATATTCCTCAGGCTATATGCTTGGCCACTGAAGAAGAGCTGCCCAGAAGCTCTTACTGCAGGCAGCATATTCTACAATCTTTCTGTTGTTCTTCTTGCCCAGACTGGGAGACTCATGTGCCATGCGCAGTGGAATTTCTTCCCTAGAAGTCACGTCTGGAGCCACAGTAACAAATAACAAATCATCTTCACCATCCTAGAAGTATGAGACAGCTAAAAAGAAAATGAACCATGAGCACTGCATGCTTTCAAAGTTTTCCTGGTCACTGTTGTGCCAGCAGCCTTGTTTATGAGGAATTGGGACCCAGGGATGCTAGAGCGGTGCGTGTGTCTTGACAGCTTGTATGCTAGATTGGGAGGTGACAGAAGGTATTCATGTTCCTGAGGGTTTCTTTTCTGTCAGGTTTCCCAGTGCTGATTCACTAGTAACTAATGATGAAAAGCCTGAGCTGTCCTAGACACGGAGAAGATGGTTATCTACTGCCTTCTGTCTTGAAAGCTTTTCTCACCCACGCTAGGCTGACTGCAGAGATCTGAAGATGAGCTGTATGGTAGCTGTCATGGCATCAAAGCTTCTTTGACACTTTTCTGTTTTGCTTTTTCACTTTTCACCAATTTCTTTCTCTGGGTTTTTATTTCCTTCCACCAGTTTTCACATATTTTTGTCTTTCCTTAATGGCATCCAGCTTCAGTCACACTGAAGTTCCCACCTTGGCTGACCTCTTGCGGATGTGTGCCTGAGACAGTTTTAGCTCCTTTCAGACAAAGTGTCCCTTTTTTGGGGTGGGTAGGACATTTGGTTCATTCGGCAGCACCCTTGAGGCCATTTGGTGTGCTCACAACATATATGAAATCTCAAATCCCAGACAAATGGGCAGCACATTGCAAACAAAACCATATACCCTCGAAGGCTCTGTGAATAAGTTCATGACTCTATTAGTGGTGATGAATAAACTTCAGAAGCATTGGGAACACACTTCCTCTTTTGGATGCCTTGTTCAAACCCCAGTGCAATCTCTTTAAGGTTTCTCCAAAGTTGTGCTTCCCTAGGGCTGTCCTTGTGAGTCTGCATCACCCAGCTGACTCAGGTTTGTGCTCTTTTATTGCATCTTCTTCACTCCACTTCCCAGCACCAGCTTCCTCTGCTTCATCATGGGGAAGGTCAACAGGCCTTGCGTCTGATGGCAACCCCTTGGACTGGGCTTTCCTTGTGATCTGGCTGAGCTCCCTGGTGTTGAAGCAGCATTTCTGGTATGTCTCCCTTTCCTGTGCTCCAAGATGAATGTCCAAGAATGAGAATAAAGGGTGAATTTTTCAAAGATACTTGCCTGAACATGGAATCAAATTTCCAGTTGCAAAAGTGACCTGGATAATGAGAAACTTAAGTGTTTGACTAGAGAGTTCAGTGAAGCCTCATGTAGATCCTTACCCTTCACTTCACCTCAAGCAGTTCAGATTGCACAAATAGCACATCATGATCCCACATGGAGGTGTTAGCACAGGTCCCAAAAACCAGATGCTGTGTAGCACAGAACACAGGTTTGGTCATGGTCAGTGAAGGTGCACCAGCTTTTTTGCTCAGTGCAGACCTACCAAAACTGCATTGAAAACCAACAACAAATCAAGTGCCAAAGCCACATCGGTCATGCAGGGCCTTCTGAAGCTTTGTTCTGTGAGAGGGATAGCAGGCGAAACATTCCCTGGGCATGGGGCAACCTGCCTTGGAGAACTGGGCAATGCATTCTTTAGGGGAAAAATGGACAGGTATGGAGCTGTGGAGGTGTTGAGATGAAGGACAGTAGATGGCATAAAGAGATTATGCAGCCTTTTATTGGCTATTTCTTCTCCTTGGATCATGCTGATTCAGACATGTATCTGCAGGTCCCCTGTAGGCATCCAGTATTGAGGCTCAGGCTACTTCTTGGAGCACCAGCAGGTTGTCCCACAGGTGATGGCCACCTCTAGGAGCCTGTGGCAGTGGCATATCACTGTGTCAGCACATGCTTCAGCCTTGCCACCTTGAGGGTGTTAATGTAGGTCTCCAGGCAGGGATTAGACCTCTATGCTCTGAGGGAATGGCAGCAGACATGTCCATTGCACCAACTGGGAGATCTTTACACCTCATCCTGCCTTGTGCCCAACCACCTGGTGCCTCCTCAAGTCCTTCCCCAGACCTCAATTAAATCTCACATTTCCTATTTGGAGAGGAGCCCTGTATCCTTGCAGGCCTGACAGGTGGGCTGGTGTATCCTTGCTCTGTAAAGCTGGTGTGGCTGCTGAGAGCCCCTAGAGCTCGCTCTCACGTCCTGATTCCCACCTGCTGGCCCAGATCAGTATATATCCATGATGAGGAAGAACTATTGAAAATAAAGGGGTTTGGTCATAATGAATAGGGAGGACTTTTCTAATTTGTACCTCTTCCCCCCAAGGGAATAAATAGTTGTTGAAAAAACTAACTGTGTTCCCTTAAGCAAGTAGAGCGAAGCAGGAATTCATCTCTCTTCTTGACTTTTTTTATTGCCACTGGAGTTGCATACCTGTAACATGCCATCTAAACATAAATCTGTCAGGAACAACAAATGCTGCCATAGCCCTTAAGCAACAGTACAGAACTAATCTGTCAACAAGCTTTGGAGCTACAAACCTGTGGTAATGTTCAACATCAAAGGCATCCCTTCCTCATCCCCTTCACTGTGTCCGCAGACTGGGAGCAAGTGTTAGTCTACATTTGGGAGGCATGAAAGGCCCAGATCTGCCACTGCCCATGTTGGGGCTGGCAGTGAGAGTGTGGGACCTGGACCTGCCCCTCTCCACCCCACCATACATGCAGGTTGGGACCAGCCATCTGACACTGTGCCAAGGCTATTCCAGATACTTGCTGTCCTTTGCAGTGGACTGGCAGGGAGCTAAGTCATTGACTTCAGGCTCGGGCCTCTCATCCACATTCTTTTTGCTGAGGTGTCCTTCAGTCCCTTCTTTGTTGACCACCTGGGTCTGACGAACACTGAGGGACAGTGTGATCTTGTGGCTAGCAGCTGAGAGCGAAGAAGGTTTGATGTGTACAAGGCGCAGAGCCTGCAGCCCTGCTTACCCTTGAAAGTTGGAAAACAGATGTTAAGATGTAAGCTATAATGATAAAACCCTCTAAAGCTCAGAGGAGAGAGAGATCTGTTGGGGAGGAAGGGAGTTGTGGTACAAGCAGGTGAGAGCTGGGACATCAGGAAAGCTATGGATAACTTTGAGGGACTATCCAAGGAAGCCAGAAGAAAAGATGTGGTGAGGGATAGAGAAGTACCTGGGGCAGAAGTGTTTGACCACCGACAGCTGGGCTCCCATCACTTCCCAGGTTCACCTGCAGCAGCGGCAGGTCACAACGCAGAGTGTGGCTGCTGCTGCACCATGCGTGATTCAGCAGCTCCTGCTGAGCCCCTGCCCATGTCCCCCTATGGCCCCTAACCTGGCTTAGCCGGGGAGCTTACTCATGAGCTGGTGCACATGCCTGGTGGCCCTTGTCCACAGGGTGCCATCCCTGCCACTGCAGCATCATGGTAATGTATATCATCTGACACATGCTAGCCCATCATGCAACATTGGTCAGGATAGCCTGAGAGAACCTCGCCATTGGGCAGCATGTGAGACCTGTTCGGTTCAGCTTTCTTCTCTGTCCCTTTCTCTCTGTTAACACAGAGACTCTGCACATGCTTTTTCTCTAACTGCAGCATAACCCGTTTCCCTGGAGCCTCCTGTGGGTACCTCTGGGGTAATAACGGGAACACGCTTGCCGTACACAATGCTCGCTGTCGCCTGAGCAGCTACTCACCGCTCTGTGGTGCCTCTGGCCAGTGTTGTCTACATAACAGCTCCAAAGAGAGTCTCTGAAAGTAGCATCCAGCCCATCTCAATCTTCCTGCCAGCTGGTGCTTCTAGCAGGTGAGAAGGAAAGAGGCAGGCAGTGGAGGAAAGGAAGAGTTTGGCTGGCTGCTTGAAGACCCAGGCCAAAAATAGAGCTGGAATGCTGATGTTGCAGGTGCCTGGTTAAAGCAAAGTGAAGAGTAAATACGTGCGTAAAGCCTTTAATTTTTTCCATTCATCACAATGCACTTTTTATTTTTGACCTTAGCCTCAACAATGGTGCCAGACGTGTTCTGTGATTTCTCCCCTTTTCCCCTCCAGATGTCCAAATGGATTCTTCGGACAGAGGTGTTTGGAGAAACTGCCTTTGCGATTGTACATGCCAGATCCTAAGCAAAGTATGTTTGAAGACAAAAAATGCACCACACTACTTAAAACCTCCTGGGCACAGCGGTGGATGTAGAGTGGTCTAGTCAGGGATGGCTCTTGGTGTCAGCTTTGGGCTAGGGCTTAGGGATGCAGGTAAGGGTGAAGGCTGAAAGCAGACAGATAGGAGTCATGGAAGGGATCGGAAGGGGCCTCAGTTTGGTATGTTTGGGTGTCATTTTGCTATCTTGTTTCTCTCTTTCTGGTTTTCTTTCTTCCGGTAGGTGTCCGATCGAATTCACAGGAGACCGGTGTCAGCATTTCGCAATGGTCAGCTTCTCCAGTATGTCTCTTTCTACTTCTCTCTCTCCCTGGTTATTGTAGCTCTGTGTCGTGTCCTTAAAGCAGGTTCTTCTGTTCTCCAAGAGCTCTCTTCCTGTCTTGTGCGCTCCCAGCTCTGCTTGGCTGTCAGAGGAGCTGTGATCGTGTCCAAGAGGAGAATCTGGGCTCTTGTTTTCTCCCCATTTGTTAGAATGGGTTTTGCTTTCATTTTTGATTGAACTTGATGTTGCTTGCTCTTTTCATGCAAAATGCAAATAAGGCACAAGGTTATGTGGTGTGTTGTGTGAGAACAGTCTGCATGATAAGCTGAATCTGTGAGCATTACTGTCTCAAGATAGACTATGTTGTGCAGTGCAAGAGATGTACATTTTTCCCATGACTCTCGCAAGTGGGTGTGTGAGTCTTTCTGTATCAACTGAGCAAATCACAGAGAAGGCTGTAATGAAATTTCCCCTGACATGAGGTTTTGATTCTGTTTCCAGAAGCTAAACAAAACATCAGTTGCTGTTCAGGTGAGATGGTTGGAGGCTGGCTGGAATTCAGATCCTGGAGCACGCTCAGAGGGCTGGACAGGACACACATGCATGCCTGGAGCCCCAGGTCACGCTGGTGGCTATCACTGTCTCAGGGTTTCCCACACCTCGGTGCCATGCAAGGTTACTGGCTAAATCTACCTTGCATATCGGGTTGTGTCTAACTACAGTGACTGACCCTTTAACTTCGTATTCAGTGGGTGAATATGACCCACTGACCCTAGAGCCCTTGGACTTAGTGCTTCCTGGTTTTTAGTTTCCAGTTTCTACAGGCTGTAGGTCTCCAGAGATGAATTGCTTATAGACATCATTAGCTCATTTTGTTCAAGGCAGATAATTTTTCCAGGTCCATATTCAGGTATGTCCCAGCATCAGTGGGATCCTGGTCTGGGCAAGGACTGACCTGAAAGGAAATGCAGGTACAGCACAGGAAATTGGCCACAGTGACCCTCTGTGTGACTCCATGTTGGCCATTTGGACCATCACAAATGGTGGTTTAAAAAAAAAAAAAAAAGAGAAGTCTTTTTAGAAAGAGCCGTGGAAAAGGCTTTAATTATCAGGAACCAGGGGAGAAATCTCTCCATGATGACGCCTTGATTTCCCATTACTCTACAAGAAATCCTGCAGTCTTCATCCTGAACTGGCAATAACAGAAGTCTCATTAGCAGGAGTCTCATTAGCACGTGCTAGTAGCTGGCAAGTGCTCACAGGAGACTACTTTCTACAGAGTATACAGACAAGATGCAAATGGGCTTTGCAAGGCCCTTGGGACAGCTTGATGTTTTTACATTGCCTTTTGTTCCAAATTGGCTTCCACTGACTTAATTTTTTGGACTAAAACATCCAAGTAAGCTCTTTTTAAAATGACAAAACAAAATGTTCTGTTTTGATCTTTAACCTGATGCAATAGGGTTTCCTTTCTGCTTTTAAACCCACGTGGCAGGGACCCCAGCTGCAGACAGCAGTGGGACGCTCACCTGATGAAACTGATTTCTACCATGTTTCACGAAGTGGTGTCCAAAAGACATTATTGCTACCATGCTGCAAAGCCGAAACGGGTGAAAATGAGTTTCATATCAAGACAACGCATTTTCAGAACATTAATGGCAAGACTAAAGAGCGTGTGATTTTTCCCCAGCCTGTAGAATCCAGCTTTTTATGGGAATGAGATTTGTTTAAATTTTATTCATGTGCTAGAGGAACAATGCCAGCTTTAAAAATGACACGTGTACATATCCTTACCTCAATTCTGCTTTAACCACAAGGTAATAAGGTAAAAACCACTTAACAATCCAGTTTGCCTGTCTGAACTTGGATAAAAATAATCTAAGAAGGTGATTCATATGTGTTTATAGCTGTTTACACTTTCAGGTCACAGTTGGGCAATATACATAGCAGCACCACTGCAGAAAAGCATGCACTGAACTTGCTGTTCTGAATAGGAAAGGCATTTCACTCGAGTCAGGACTGTGCAAGTGCTTACTTTCCACTTTAATCAATAATTAGGGCACGGTAGAAGTTGCTGTTGCCCTCTAATTTGCTCAGTGCTTCATCCCATATGGGTTCTGACAGGTCAAAAACTGAAACAGATTAAATGAGGTTCAGGCATTTCCATTGGAAATAAAAAAGCTCTGTCCTGATTCACGTTTTGAAAACATTGCCAGCACCTGACAAATGCTTAAATAGGAAACAATGAAACCTGCACTGATGATGTCTTAAATGCATTTGGGGTATTTTAGGTTTTCAGTCCTAGATCAGAGCCTTTATATTCTTTAACATAAATATTAATTGTTGCAATATAGCTTTTCATAGATATGTCCCAGGGCTGAGTGAGTCTCAGCAGAGTGAACTAAATTTAAGATGCTGTTCTGAAAAGATATGGCAGACACTTTGCTGAATTTGGGCCACTGATGGAGATGGTGCATCATCCCAGCATCATGCCAGATGTTATGTATCTTCTGGGAGCAACTTCCTATCTCACCAGTTTAAACCTTTAGTCAGATTTTGCTCAGGTAAAACGCCCCATGTTCTCTGGGAGTTCAGGCTATTTTTGTCTATTTGACAGGTAGCTCTGGAGGTTTGTTTTTCTCTGATTGTCTGAAATACCTGCTAGACCACTGCAATTATGCAGATAGAAATTTAGATAGTTTTTCTCACCTGTGGTGTTTCTGTGTTGCTGTTTCAACCATATGACCAAGTGCCACCTGCCAGAACTTCTGGATATATACCCTACTTCTTGAAGACGAAATATTAAAGATACGGGGATCTTTTACGTCATGCTGACACTGTTCGTATTTTCTAACAGATTGGTACAGAGGTACTCACTAGGAATTGTACTATTGGGCTACCTCAGAGACTTCCCAGTCTGTCCCGGCTCAGCCCTTTTTTGGATGAATAACATTTGCTTTTGGTAGGAATTTGCAACAGCAGAATTCAAGCAAGTATCTCAGTGGTTGGTTCCTATCTGCTTATAAAAAGTTTACATTTTATTTTGCTTGCATTGTTATGCAGATGCAATGGCAAATATGTTAGGATAGTGGAGAAAAAAGCGAAGCATGCTAAAACCAGCTACTTGTCTGAGAAAATGGATGCACAGTGCAAACAGGTGACATTACTCTGGCCTAGCAAGGTGCCCCTTCTACGCAGAGCTCTGGTACCCGACTGGGTCAGCTCTCTGAGCCTGCCTTTACGCTAAGCCTGCCTTAGTCTGAGTCACCCTGATGGTCTGTCTTCTAGCAAGTCTCATACCGTAAGGACATCGAAGGCAGCATGTTTATTTTGGACAGCAGTGGTGAGGTGTGTGTAGACAGTTGGCTACCATCAGGCGGGAGATGCACAGTTATTTGCTGAATAGAAGCAACACAGATGAGGGCCTTTGAGATGTTGGCGCGTTCTAATGCCACATTCAGTAAGTATGGGCAGAGTCTCACAGGGAAGCTTAAAAGCTTTATCCTGTTTATCATAGATCAGTTTTAGGACAGTATGACAGATGGTTTCTCACATTCCTCAGAACAGGAAACCTACCAGTGGAGGGAAGGAAGGAAGGAGGCATGTCAGAGCAAACAGCTGCTCATTCACTGAGATTAAAATAGTTGAAAGGTACATACCTGAGAAGAAAAAGATGTCCTGACTTAATATGTGCTGACTGAAGCCTGGTTAGACCCCTTTTATTGGTGTGAAATTTCACTGACCTCAGTTTGTCTCTGAGCATGCTCCTCCATCCATGCATACATAAGGAATTGGCTGATGGATCAAGGTTAGAAGATCATATTGTCTAGCCTTTAACTAACCTGTAAGAGAAAAGCCTTAAAGAGACTGTACAGTGTAACTGAGGGACATTAAATAAATATTTAATTCAGTTTTCATTTAGGCGGTGAACAGAGTGGATGCTGATTTTCTGTGATTGGTATATAAAACAGAGGAATGCCCTGGTAGATGGGAATACAGAGAATTATTTCCATGAATGGTCATTAAATAACCTCATTAAAATGTTTTTCACATCAAGGTCTTAATATTTCTATGTCTCCATACGACTATAGTTGTAGCTAAAATTAATATATATACTGCATTGTACATATGATGGTAACGTCATATTGTCTGCTAGTTTCAGGAGTTAGATCTTACAGTTGTGATGTAACTCCGATAAAACCAGAGGGCTGGGAGATCCTAACTACAAACTGTGACCTAAAACAGGAATCCCTCCTGACTCTGGGCATGGGAAATGCAATGTGCAGGCAAGGAGCAACCAGCCTTACTGGCAGTCTGAGTTCATGTTACAAACTCATCTTCTGACCACTGTTCTCCATGCCCCACCTCTTTGCAGCAGTAGTGCGTCCAGACCCTCATTGTTTTTTCAGGGGGCTTTTAGACATCTGTCTTATAGGTTTGAGTCCAAATTCATACCTCAGGCTCCCTTCATAGTCACTGCAGAGGGTTTGGCACCCAAGATGAACATGTGGCTAATTGAACTCCAGTGCTGCCAGCAGGATGTCTCAGCCCCCAAAGATGCAGAGGGTGAGGAGTCAAAACTCATCAGTTTAGCTGTCAGATGTCTCTCCTGGAGCCCTGGTACAGGTACCTGCAGAGTCACAGATCACAGGTTTCTGTCTGGCTGTCCATGCACTAGTGAGAAGAGAAGTTTAACACACCAAGCTAAAGATCCACAGCCTTAATGAAGCCATAGCATTAGTAGCCAAGGACCATTTTGCCTTTGCAGCCAGATCTTCATCTCTGCTGGCACACATGGGTGAAAAGTTCAGCAGTATCACAGGAGAGTCAGGAAGTATTTCTAGTATGAGAGCTTCTGGTGGGTGCTGGCGACTCACCCAAATGACAGCTCTCTCCTTGATCCAGTTTCATTGGCACAACTGTGTCTTGCAGCTCTTTCCAGAAGACAGAACCATGTCCAAAATTATCCTTCCTTTTAAGAAAACTTTTTTTTTTTTTTTAAAGCTGTGCTGACACCTGT